TGGTGAGTTTAATAATGGCCGGAATACACACATCGTGTTGAGCACAGCGAATATAAAGGGTGTTGTAGGCTCCGCTTTCAATCCCACGGCAATTGAGAGCGGCAATAGGGCGTTTCTTCGTGCGGGAAGTTAGCGAAAGCTTGGTACGAATGGTGGGTTCAATTGGGCGTTGAGGGACCGCGATGTTCAACTGGTTGTGGGTGAATTCACGCAGCCCAATGACGGCAGACGGAGCGAGCTGATCCACTGGTGTGAGCCCAAATTGCTGTGATCACAGATCATTCCCGAGACTCACGAACGCGGCGCGAATGGATTGAAGGTTTTTTGTGGCTCAGGTGTTTTGAATGGCACGCTTGTGTCCCCGTGATTGCGTACAATGACGGAAAAGACGATTTCTCCATGATTATCTGTTCGACGGACGGCGGCAGCAGCTGAGTGCTTTCAAGGGGCATTCTTCCTGCGGACTGCATTGACCTTCTCATTGCCGAGTGGGAGCAGGGACAACTTCTTGTGATTATTCATTGCTATGGGAGCCGGTACTGCAGAGTGCACGAGTCACGTGACAAGGGGACAATGTGGGTGGAAGTACCCGGGGCAATTGCAGGCGTTTGGGCCAATTCACAATCGGTTCTTTGGGAAAAGAGCTTGCGTGTGGGAGCCATTGTCACTGCGACCGTTGGAGGAAGGAGCGTCATGCTGTAGGCTCGGAAAGTGAGCTCCCCGTGGTGGGAGAGTGAGGCCCATGCGCTCTACGTTTGGGTGACTGACAGCAACCGCGTGTTTTGTGTTGGACCGGCTTTCATGGACGCTGCTGTGAATAAGCCGATTGCCAACGCCATGCTGTGCTCGGATGGTGCGTTGCACCTTGTGGGAGCGAGGCACAATGAAGAGAAAAGCAGCCTGTTTCCTGCCTCCCCTGACGGAGGAGCTCCGGATGATCACTTCCATTCCCCGTAATTGGGCGGACGTGGACGCTTCCTTCTCCGCGTCGCCCGTAAGTACGGTGGGTCTGGTTGGATAACTTTCCAACGCAGGCACTGCCAACACGTGTATCGACTAGTGCCGTTGCGTGATTGCAACGGTGACGAATGGCAAGAATGTCACAAATGGGCTTCAATTCGCAGGGCAATGTTACCCGTGAATCGTTGGGAGGATAATAATCACTGTGGCTTTGTGAATTACGACTTCGCTCTTGTGGCGACGGTGGCTATCCGCGAGACACACGCAGGCGTCAAGAGTATCCCTTTGGTTGGCGCGAAGGGAGCAGGCTGCACTGTGCACTTTTGGCTGTCGCACAGCCATGAAAGGAGTTGGGGGGTGATGTTCAACGCAAACAAACACACCGGCTTTTGGGAGTTGAACAAACAATAACGAGTGGTGCTCACGCTGCAGGACCGGCAACAAGGACTTCGTATAGATCAATGGTGAGTGTGCGTGGGATGCTGAAACGACATCATCATCGGGAAAGGGGCCACGCGCGAATTCACACTTTTACATTGGAGGGGATGGGAGCAGTGCAAGCGACACCGGGAGCCAAAACAAGTATGTGACAGTGACGAGTGTCTTTCTGTACAACCGCATATTGACCCGGGAAGAAGCCGCAAAAGTTGGTGCCAGCAACCTTGCTCTTCCAGAGTCTCTTTCTGGGAAAATGCTTGAAGGACCGGATGATCCAGCGGGAACTGACGGTGGCTCCGAAGACAGAAGCGCCTCTCAGCTCACGAACAACACTTTTTTGAAGAAGGGCTTTAGTGGCTACGGCACGGTGCGTGTGTGTGTGCCTCGGATCTTGTTGCTTCTACTTCTGGGGCTCTGGGCATTACAGCTCTTAGCTGTGTGAGACGGTGGGAGTGGAGCCGCGACTCCCCGTGGAAAAGGGTGTGCAGCTCCTCAGGAAGACTCAATGCATTCCGTTGAGGACTTTTTATTTATCCCTTTTGTTTTCACCTCTGGATATAATGTGCTGCTGGTGCCTTGTAGGAGGGATCAGAACCCCTGCCTTTTTACTATTTTTTAATTTATTTTTGTTTGCCGCTAGCTGCACACTTTCATGAGTGACGTGTTTCCCCCTGTTTTATTTGCTTTTGTTGCACCGCACGCGGTGCCGGCCTCATTGCTGTGCGTTTCGCGGACTGTGCAAAACGAGGGGTGGAGGAAGAGGCCGAGTGCCTCATGAAATGTGAGGGATTTCTTGTGGACACGTGGAACACTGCGATCTTTTTTTCCTCTGTAAGAAACATATGGAGATGCACAATCCCTGCTGCGCTGAGGGATATACGAAATGAAGGTCCACTGAGGTGATTTAGTTTTTTTTCTTTATTATCATTTATTTATTTATTTCTGCTGAACCTACGCCTTTTTTCTTGTTTTTCTGTATTTGGCAATTTGCTGTGTTGAATGCCACTATTTATCTTTTTGTCCCATTGGGTGTCCCACTGCTAGCCGTGCAGTTGACACTCTCTCATCACTTTTTATTTTCTGCTAGAAGCATCGATGGTCCGTGACGACGATCGTTTGTGTTCCCCCATTGCGATGGTGCGAGGGTGACTGGGCGCCCTGATAAGTGCGTTCTGAGGGGAGCTGATGGTGTGCGCCGTGCCTCACTGTGAGTGTGGGGCGCCACCCGCCACGACCTGCTGTGAGGCGTAACGCTATTCCTTCGGGGCTGGGGTAAGTAAAGGACTGTGGTGGACTTGGATGCGCCTCGTTCCTCTTGTTGCGGTCGTGGGTGTGTGCTGTTCGCATTGCTGTTTGCGGTACGATGTGGATGGCGGTGCTTCTGCGTGTGCCTTCTTGAATGCGCCGTGCGACGGGATTCTTTTCTCCATGTCTTTGCCCTTTTGTGAGTGGGGGTGAGTGTGGGTGGCTTTCGACCTGCCCCGAGCATTGAGGTCCTCCACACACGTGAGGCTCATCTTGGCAGCCTCTCGCAGCATCCATGCCTCGTGACAGGGAGCGAGGGAAGAGTAGCGTGTTTCCTCCTACTATGGACCCATCAATTCCGAGCAGTTGGGGTGAAACTAAGGGAACAATTGTGTGTGTCTTCACCTTCTTGCGGGAGGGCGCGCAGAGGTTGGATTTCTTTTGTTTGTTTTGTTACTGTGTCTGTGTTGACGTTATTATTATTTTTTCCAGAGGCATTCATTGTGCGATTTGTGCGTGTTTGGTGTCCAACAATTTCCGCACCGCCAAATGGGGTGTTGCGCAGGATCGGCATACATGGATGTGCAAGAGCATCGTGTCGCTCGCCCGTAATAACGCACACGCGCACAGTTTCAGCGCGTCTGACACGTCACGTTCTTCAGACCGTCCGGAATCACTTGTGGGACATCACTTCATTTGCGGCTTCGAGAAAGTGAAGTAAACGGAGAGATATGCCGTGAACGTAATGCTCCTCCATAATACCGTAGGCTGGCGGCGACAAGGATCAGAGAGCCTCTACCCAACGTTGAGAAGAGGGCAGCACTCTGATGATCCGGCTTGCTCTTTAGGAAATTGTAATGTAGTGTACACCGTGTGGGCCTTTTTGCTGCGGATATGCAGAGGGGTGATGTGGGGTGGAATTATTGTTGAAGGCAGCACGGACGCCGCCTGACCTTTATGGGAGGGATGCGTGCTGTTATTCCGTGCTTCCTTGCCTGCGTTGTCGCACTCATGCTGTGAGTGCGGATGGCCACAGTAGTGGAGCTGAATACGGTTCAATGTGTGTTGCTCACGGGGACTGCGCGACACATGTTTTTTTTTGGGTTTCCCAAAGGAGGGGCGCATCGCCGTTGCGTGCTTCCCGCGGCAGTTCATTACCCTGCGACTGTGCGTGCCGCCGTCCGCTGCGCCACTGCAAGCCTTCGCCTTTGTGAGAAATGGGGAGCGTGACTGCTGTGGCGGTGGTCGAATGCTCCCGAGTTGGTGCTTTTGGTGATTTCACTTAGAGTGCCGAGCAGCGAGGGGCTGCACACGCCCAGGAGGTGGGAGTGTGTGCTGCAACCGCACTTGCGATTTGTATTTGGGATGTGACAAGTTTCTTTGGTATTTTTATTTTTGGTGATATGCGGGGCAGCGGTGTGTTGGCGTGTGCGGGCTGCTCATGGCTGCCGGTGTTGTCTTTCCTGCTGTTCTCCCGCTCAACTCCTTTGCGTGCGAAGGAACAAACGTTCTTACGGACGTGTGGTGGGGCCGCGTTCTTGTTTGAAAAAAAGCCTTTCGCAGGCATAATGAGACTGTCGCCCGTGACACACGAGGCGGTGGGGAAGATCCTGGGATTTATTGGCGGGGTGGCACCGCACCCATGCCGTGTGGTAGGTTTGTATTCTGCAATGCACGGTGATGGGGATGTGCGGTGATAAATTTCTTCAGTGGAGCGACACGAGCAGCACGGGGAGTGTAGCGGAGGAGTGTTGGCTGCGTGCTTCCAAGTGATACATGAATGGCGAATGCAACATGAAAGGCGGCGTCACGGCACTCTTTTGTGACACGCGCATTGCAGATATTTTCCATAAAGCATGCAAATTGCACTCTTTTCTGTTGTGTGGGGGATTACCGTGATGCATCGCTGTTGTGGTGTGTATGATTTGGGGTTCTTGCGTGTGGCTGTTACTGCACCGAATACTCCTCCCACTTTTGTTTGTGTGTTTGTGTGTGTCAGCGTTTATGTGCCCACGTCCTCTTGCAGAGTGTGTGCGGTGACGGCGGTGCCACACGGGTGCGGGACCGTAGCGAGCGGAATGCATGAGCAAACCCTCCGTGCGCACCACGTTGTTGTTGTTTGCTCTCACCAACACTGTGCTGGGTGGATGACATCCACTCGCCGTCGTTGCGGTGGTCCTCGTGCATGTGGTTTTTATCGAATACTATGTGGATGACTCTCTTGCTGTGGATGAGTCTCTTGTTGTGGCTTTGATTCATGACTGTGCCTATTGTCTTTCTTTTTCTCATTCCCCTTTTTTGTTTGGTGGCTATTGTTTAGATCTAACTCGATCCAACCAGGAAATCAAAGGGAAACAATGCCTGGAAATCAAGCGTCTGCCGTGCCGCAGGGAGATCGTCAGAGGAGAGCGAGGCCGGAGTCTGAGGATGTCACGGATCAACCCGCTGCGACACGAATAAGAGTGGAGGAGGCGCGGCGACCACAGTGGACCATTAGCAGCACCGTAGAGGACATCCTGCTGGAGGGAAGCACTAACAGGACCGAAATGAAGCTGAACGATTTCCTCCGGAGCAACTTGGGCGAGGAGTGGGTTGTGGAAAGAAATGGGAACGTCACGATGGGGAATTTTGTTCAGAATCCCGAGACGTTTATCAAAAAGAAAGGGTTATTACACACAATAAAGGCATCGCCGTCATACAGAGAGCTGGAGGCTATTAATAAGCTTCATCACGAGGGTGTGCTCTCTCTCGAGCAATGGAGGGACTATGAAGGAAAGGATACGGTCACTCCACTTGCAAGGAGAAATCTAAACAGAGTACTCACTCAATTACTGAGAGAAGAAAGCCGTGAGGCGGAAGAAAGGGCAGTGCGTGAGGAACATGTAGGATTTGCCCTAACTACTACGATCAGGGATGTGCTATTTAGAGGGAGAGTTCGCGTCATGGACGTAAAGCTGAATGATTTTCTTATGATGGAATTGGAAGGCAGAGGCATTTTGCGCGCCAATCGGAATGTCTTACTGAGGGTTTTTTTCAGTGATCCCACGAGTCATATCCGCGATGCGGGAGTATTGAACGAAATACGGGCATCAGGTGCTTATGCGGAGATGGAGATGGCTGTACGGGAGGAAATGGGTTTGGAAGAAGTTGCACGCAGGCTTAGCGAGAATGGTGTCAACAGTCTAGCAGCGTGGTCATTAGCTGCTGAGGAGGTAAAAGCATGTGTTCGCGACGACACTAAAATCTCATTGAATGCAGCCCTTGAGGAGGTGAGGAACCCAACGACGTCGAGCGCACCGATATACCTGGAGGGAGAGTACGAGTCTGTGTACAATGCGAGGTGGCATCATGTCGTGGAAGTTCCTGACGGCGGGGGGACGGTAATGAAGGTGAAGGAGGGGAAACCAGAACAGCAATGGACTTACAAGGCAGCTGGCAGAACTTTCGAAAAGGATGACGGTGCGCAGCAATCCGGTGCACCACGTCTCAGGCTGATGGTGCTTAACTCGGACAAGGGATGGCCGTACTCGTGGAAATGGAAGGAGAAGGAATCCATTCATGACTGCTATGTGAACTGTGAGGTGGAGCGAGTGTGGCAGATCGTCAAAAAGGATCTAAGCGAATTCCTCAGCCCTGACGATGAGCCCGGCTTTGTGCCTGGGCGACGTGTGCTGATTGGGACGCCCGGGATCGGGAAGTCGATGGCTGCCGGTTCGTACCTCCTTTACCAGCTGCTGCACTACGATGCGGAGCAACTCCCAATGGTTGCGTACTTTATTGCGGATCGAACTTTTCTGTTTGACAAGACCACCCGAGTGGCGTCAGTGTACAAGGGTGACGACAGTATTTTCCGTATTGTGAGCAGTTTCTCTGGGCGTGGGGTGAAAGGGGTATGTCATTTACGAT